GTACACATTATCTTCTTTTTCATTCATCAAACAAATAATCCTCAACTCCACAACCATTCTTCCAAAGAGTTTCTGACCACTAGTCCACACCTGAATGACCAAACTCCGTCTATTCTGGATTCTACAACTACTGAGAGACTGATGGGGCAAACACATGTTTTACAAGAACTGAGTGGAACACATGGGCAAAATGAGAAAGGAGATAGGCAGGGCCACCTTCACATTCAGAACGGTCTGAATAAAGGATGAAACTCTCTGTAATGGTTCTATTCTAAGCAATATAAATCATAAATTATGTTAATATATCATTTTGAAAAACAACCTTACCCACGACAAAGATCAAAAAGAAAAAGAAAACCAACACCTAAAACTAAAAACAGGACTCGGTCTTCAGGGTCTCACCAGCACAGAATCTCTCAGGTCATCTTTTCTTGGGCTGCCCTTTCCACCAACACAGCAGATCAATTCTGAAGGCGGGGCTGGCTTTTCCTTTTGCAAAGAGCGATCTCAGATGACCTTTCAATGGCTAGGCAAAAATATACCAGTTTTGGTTTTGGGTTTTTGTTGCTGTTGAAGTTGCCTCTATAAAGAAAACCTCTGAGGAAGAGAATCAGAAACTTGAGAAAACTTCAAAACTCTAAAGAGCTCTGGACTCCGCTGCTTTCTATGGCTGGAAAGCTCCCCAGTGTCAATAAAGGCATAGGCAGTAGGTACACACAGCAAAATCTGACGCGGGGGGTTTTCTGCAGGAGAAAAACACTGAGTAAACACATGGATGTTTTAACTGAAAAATTAAAAACATGTTATAAGCATAATCAGAAAAATGTAGTTGATTCAATATGCAGGCTGGAAAAGTCGACTGGATGAGGTTGGAACTGAGGCTGGCATCAGTCTTCACCACAGATTTTTACTTTTGGTAGGAAGGAAAATAAAATCAAGCACATAAAATTCCTCTCACTCTTCCCCTTCCTCCATCCTTCTACTATAGACAAAAGGCATATATTTTTGTGCTGATGATCCTAAACTCATGCACATAAAAGGACGTGTACAGTAGGAGTAACTAAATGTACAACAATAGCTACCTAGCAATTCATATCATTCTAAAAAATAGAAAAAATGCTCTTTCCAAAGCACATACATAAATTATGGCCCTGAGTAGGATTTGAATGTGACCCCCTCAAAATTCATGTGCTGGAAACCTAATCCCCAAATCTACATGGCTGAGAAAGTGATATCTTAGGGAGCGATTTCATCATGAGCAATCTGCCCTGGTGAACGGAATCATGTCGCTATCTCGGGAGTGGGTCTGTTATGAATGCAAGCTTAGACAGGTGCAGAGGCATGTGACTGTAGTCCTAGCTACTCAGGAGTCTGAGGCCCACGAATCCCTTCAGCTCAGGCATTAGAAAATGTATTTAAGATATAATTACACCACTACATTACAGCCTGGGTAACAGAGGCAGACCCTATCTCTTTGAAAACATAAAAATAAAATTAAAAACCAAACTTAGCACTTTCTTGTGCCCTCTTGCCAAGTTATAATGCAGCAAGAAGGCTCTCCCCAGACCCAGCCCCTCGATCTTTGAATACCAAGCCTCCAGAAACGTAAGCCAATGAAATTCTGTACTTTTAAAGTTGCTCAGTCTCGGTTATTTTGTTACGGCAACACAAAACAAACTACAACAATCTGAATTTTTAGGAATCAGTGTTTTCTCCTAGAAAGTCTAAAGTCCAAAAGAGAATGCAAAGGGTCAATCTTAAAAGCTCTTTCCAGCTGGGTGTGGTGGCTGACGTTGTAATCTCAGCACTTTGGGAGGCAGAGGCAGGCGGATCACCTGAGGTCAGGAGTTCTAGACCAGCCTGACCAACATGGAGAAACCCCATCTCCACTAAAAATACAAAATTAGCTGGGCATGGTGGCGCATGCCTATAATCCCAGACACTCAGGAGGATGAGGCAGGAGAATGAGCCTTGGAGGCAGTGGTTACCGTGAGCCAAGATAGCACCACTGCACTACAGGCTGGGCAACAAGAACAAAACTCCATCTCAAAAACAAAGCTCTTCCCATGTATAATGTTTAGGAAATTTAAGACTCTTAAGTGAAAATCAACCATACACTAAATGCTGTTTTAAAATAACCATCATAGGTAGTTACTTTTCATCTTCAGAGTCAGCACATTCCATCACCCTATTAGAAAAGGCACCCTATATGTGAAATGAAGAAAGGTTATGTACTACGGTTTTAACAGTATACTACCCAAAGCTCTGGAAATTCCGGTCCCAAGTCATCTATTCTGCTTTAGGAAGCAGGGTTCAGCCGGGCGCGGTGGCTCAAGCCTGTAATCCCAGCACTTTGGGAGGCCGAGGCGGGTGGATCACGAGGTCAAGAGATCGAGACCATCCTGGTCAACATGGTGAAACCCCGTCTCTACTAAAACTACAAAACATTAGCTGGGCATGGTGGCACGTGCCTGTAATCCCAGCTACTCAGGAGGCTGAGGCAGGAGAATTGCCTGAACCCAGGAGGCGGAGGTTGCGGTGAGCCGAGATCGCGCCATTGCACTCCAGCCTGGGTAACAAGAGCGAAACTCCGTCTCAAAAAAAAAAAAAGGAAGCAGGGTTCATTCCCTAACCACTAAATACTAAGGAAGGATCAAAACAACAGAGTTCTTTAAGGCCTTAAGTTTTGAGTTTTCATTTATTTGATGCTTGCTACATACCTTGCAATGCTGCAAGAAATGCATGTCCTGGCTGGGCACAGTGGCTCCTGCCTATAATCCCAGCGCTCTGGGAGGCCAAAGTGGGAAAATCACTTGAAGCCAGGAGTTCAAGGCCAATCTGGCCAACATGGCAAAACCCTGTCTCTACTAACTAAAAACACAAATTATCCAGGTATGGTGGCACATGCCTATAATCCCAGCTACTCAGGAGGCTGAGGCATGAGAACCGCTCGAACCCAGGAGGTGAAGGTTGCAGTGAGCTGAGATAATACCACTGCATTCCAGTCTGGGTGACACTGGAGTGAGACTCTGTCACCCCAACCCCCTCAAAAAAGAAATGCATGCCCTAATGACACTACAAATTGGAAGGCTACAAAATCTACCTCCTATAATCAAGGGTAGCCAAATCTACCAAAACCTCTCAAACCTTAATCCACCTAAGATCTTGATGATTTTCAACAGTAGAGTGATACCAAAACCAAGTTAGTAGGTTGCAATGAATCCTTAATTCAGTAAGATACCTCACATGTTAATAATTAAAAAGCATTTGCAGTGGCTAAGTTTTCCTCCACCTCATGAAAAGACCTCCTGCCTAATGCCCTATAGAATTCCAGTAAAATGACTACTTTGCGTTCAGGTGCCACATGACGCTGTGGTCCCATACAAGAGAAAGCTAGCAGCACTATCTTCTGAGAGAGTCACAAGCAGTTAGGGACAAAGGGTCCCTCCTCCTCAAGAATGAAGCCTACCGACACTTATCACTGCACCCGGATGCTGCCCAGCTCTCAGCCAGAAGTGAGGGTGATGGTCAGCCACATAGCTAAAGGAGTGGGTCCCAAAGACTCAGAGAATTATGCTCCCCAAACGGAGATCAAAGTTGATGCCAGATGCATGCCAGATGCCCATGGTGGAGACAGTGATAGTATCTCACATTCCAATATATTAGACTGACACAATTTTTACACATCCTTAAAATCATTTTCTTGTGATAATTCACGTTTTAAACTGGAATGGGGGAATGTTTGTTGCAGAATATCTACGATATAATAGGTTCATCACTAAGACACTCTGTTTAAAGGAGTGACATACAAAGCGAGCACATGAACAGATCCATCTTACCTGTTTTCTAACTATAATAACCAATCTTATCACATCTTCTAAGAAAGTGCTGAGGATGAAGAGAAAATGAGAGCCATTAATACAGACTCAATGTATCTAAAAGGGGACACTTCGTGATGGAGAAACTAAAGACTTCTGGCTCTGCATCTCAAACTTCAGACCTGAAAACAGTTAGGAATTTTAACTATCTACACATGGCTAATCTTGTCTTTTTCTCTTAATTTTTCACCCTACTCAATTCTTCTACAGACAGACACATGTAGATTGTTTCTGAAAAGTAAGTTCTCCGGAATGAGTAACAAAGACGAGCAGGCAAGAGGGACTTTTATTCTTTTCCTTCAATCGCTGAAGCTAACAGATTCTAAGAAAAAGTCATGAAGCTAGTCATCCAAGTAAACATGGAGTAAGAGAACAAAGGGATATATAAATTCTAATAGGGAAAAGGGAAAATAATGTATCAGGTTGAAGTAGGGCAGATAGTAGGCAAAGGGTTTCAAAAGCACCCAAGTAAAATCATTATTATAAAATGCTGCTGCCACTGTTTGACCATGAAACCACACTCTTTATCAAACTACTATAGCCAACTTCCTTACCACACTATCTTAAGCTTATTTAGGAAAGTCATATAAAAATAACTGCTGTTCTAAGTTTTAAGCACCAATTCCACAGCTACTAACTTGGAACTCGGTTAAACAGCGAGGGATTAAAAATACACGCGGTATAATTTCAGCTTTCCTGACAAGGGAAAAAACGTCTCAGAAACACTACATTTAATTCTTCAAATTTATAGAAAGATCTCTCTTCAGAAGTGGCAAAACATCACCTAATATATATTCCTCAAGATGATGGCTGCTTACAGTCGATTAAAATGAACAGTTAAGGCAGGCATTACAAGCTGGCCACTCCTTGGATAACTGTGCCGGCAGGAACATGTGTTGTTCAGGCCAGAGTACTTTTTTTTTTTTTTTTTTTTTTTCCATTTTTAATTATTCAACAAAACTTAGAAAGCAGGACATTTGATATCAAACCTCATCATTCTGGCTCCTCTATGAAAATCAAGGGATTGGGTAAGTGGGCTCACGTTATCATGTGGTGAAAACTGGCACCTGAGTTTGCAGTCCCTGGTTGAAGGTACCAATATTTTCAGCCTTGAGTACTAACCTTTTCCTCGACGGCCCTTCTTCAAAATCTGAAGAACTAACATCGTTGCTAGTGGAGGACACTTGGGATGCATCGTCCTTCTCATTCTCTGACTGTTCTGATGCTGGTCCTAATCCCTTAGACTGGTCATTACCAAGGAGCCCTACAGGTGAGAAAAGGGGACAAACACTTAAATACATCATATCAGGAGGCAGCACTTTACCACAGTTAACCCTACACAACGCTGATGAAGACAGACAAGAATGTGGAGAGAAGAGAAGTTAAAAGCACACATCCCTTTTGAATGGGTGGGAAAAGTAAAATCTCATTCTATTGGGACCTTTCAAGAGAGTGAAATGCCAAGGAGGGAAACAATTTCAACAGTAAGAAATTTGACCAGAAATGTGGAATTGTTATACTTTAGGATTTGTTTTAAAGAGTACGTAACACTTTTGGGGCACTAAAGGGTGAAAAGGAAGAAAGGAGTTTTAATTATTATCAAATCTAACTAGTCACTCTTGAAGTGCTGAATACTGACTCTACAGATACTGTACAATTTTGTGGAATTACCTGGAGGAACCACTACCTGCCACACAAGAAAACCTTATCTTTGTAGCTACATCTTAGATATTAACTAGAAATCCTACTCCACTTGTTTTTCTTCATAGCCACCAATAAGATTAGATTGTAACCAGATTTGCCTTTGATTATCTCAAAGGATAAGGATTCTCTGATAGCGGATCATAAACATAGTCTTGGTGCCCATAGATGTGCTTTTAATAACTAAAATGTGGAAAGAAGATGGGGCCCTCGGGGGGCTCTAAAAAGCAGCTGTGTACTAACTGATACGGAAGTATTTTAACGGCCATAAGGCCACACCACAGGGAAACGGCTGAAAAAAGCCTGAGAGTCCCTTACATCAATGTAAGTTCTGCCAACAAGAAGCTTCCACTGACACAAGTGTTCACAGCAACCAGGCCCCCTGTCCACTGTCTAGTCATCATCTTCCAAGGAAACCAGAGCTGAGCAGTAGCAGCAATGATAACACAGCATCTGCAGTTCCGCGGTGCTTGATCTTTAAGCTAAAGACAGAGTGCCCCCTTGATTTTTGCTCTTCTAGTCCTTCCACCAATTCTGTGCACACTTCATTTCTCTGTATTGTCTTTGTTATTGAAGAGTCTCAAAAAGTGACGTCTGTCAGATGCACTAAATACTATGTAGAATACAGTATTCCATGTATTTTGGTTTAAAAAAAAAAAGTTCAACACTCTGAATGAACATAGTATACATAAAAAAAAAAAAAAAAAAAAAAAAAAAAAAACCCTGCGTCCTGGCTTGTTTCTGCTTGCAATTCACCAGTTATCTATTTTTACATCATTTCAGAGTATGAGTGATGACAAAGTTGAAGGTAAAACACATGGTTATTCACTTTGACTAATGGGGCCTTAAGAGTTGTGACTAAAACACAGAAATACAAACATATATTAAAAAATAAATAAATAAATAAATAAAAGAGGCCGGGCGCAGTGGCTCACGCCTGTAATCCCTGTACTTTGGGAAGCCGAGGCAGGCAGATCATCTGAGATCGGGCGTTTGAGACCAGTCTACCAACATGGAGAAACCACTTCTCTAGTAAAATACAAAATTACCTGGGCGTGGTGGCACATGCCTGTAATCCCAGCTACTCAGGAAGCTGAGGCAGGAGAATCACTTGAACTCGGGAGGCGGAGGCTGCAGTGAGCCAAGATCACACCACTGCACTCCAGCCTCGGCAACAAGAGTGAAACTCTGTCTCAAAATAAAAATAAAAACAAACAAAAAATGCTGGGAGTTTGTACTGTGAGGCCAAAAGGAGACAACTGTATGGAAATCTAACAATCCAAGGATAAAAGCATAGCCAGTGTTTCAGAGACTGAAGCCATGTTATCCATTACAGACGCCACTAGTCATATGCAGCTACTGAGCATCTGAAATATGGCTATTGAGGATAAGGAAATAAATTTTAATTTTACTTAATTGGAATTTAAACTCAGAATGTCATATGTCATTGATAATGTTATATTGATTAATTGTGGAAATATTTTGGAATTTGTTAAATCAAATATATTAACATTAATTTCACCTACTCCTTTTGAGTGTGACTACAGAAGCTAAAATTATATTTGTAGTTTAAATAATATCTTTACTGATCAGCACTAAATTGGAGCACATTAGTAGTGTCACTATGGGAGTGGGGGATCCCCTCCCCCACCCAATTAGGATACAGATTAGAGTTGGCCAAGGAACTTAATATTTCTTATTAGGATAAAGAGAAGATGGATAAATTACCACCCAGAAAAAGGATAAAAACCTGAAAATAAAAATGCTGGCTAAAGAACCAGATGTAAAATTTAAAAGTAAAAAAAAAAGGATGCACATCGTAAACACACATCATCTCTGTTGAGTTCTAATTTTGTTTCTTGCTTTTGAGACAGGAGGGTCTCACTCCGTTGCCTAGGCTGGAGTGAGTGGTGTGATCACGGCGTACTGTAGCCTTGACATCCTGGGCCCAACAAATCCTCCTGCCTCGACCAGGACCACAGACACATGACTGGCACCACAGACACATGCCACCATGCTCAGCATATATTTTTTGTAGAAATGGGGTTGATCGCCATGTTGCCCAGGGTGGCCTCAAACTCCTGGGCTCCAGCAATCCATTGACCTTGGCTTCCCAAAGTGCTGAGATTACAGGCAGGAGTCACTGCACCTGGCCTTTTTTCAAGTTTCCTTTTTTCCATAGTGTAAGGTGGGTATAATAATGGAGAAAAAAGGAATCAATTCTGAATTTACCCATTCACTTACTTAAATACTATAGATATGCCAGGCCAATGGGGATACAGGCTAATCAAAATCTAAAATTAAGAGAGACAGACAAACACAGACATATGTATCACTCAGTAGTATGTGAAGAAAATACAGTAAAAGAGAGGATAGTAAATCAGTCAATGGAGCCGGCTGCCAAGCTTGCATTACCAAAACAAGAACAAGAAAATTGGAATTTGCAGTAAGCCTAAAAACAGGGAGTGGTGATGGAGTCAGAGGGCAAGGAGGAAGAGCTCCATTTGGAGCAAAAAAGGAACTCAACAAGGACTACGAGCAGCTCAGGAAGACTGGGAAAGGCTCCTCTACCCTTTGGTACATAACAGCAGCTGGGGTATGAGCTGAATGAGAAAGAAGTGAATGTGTGAAAGAATGACTCAACAAATGATTTCACAGTGGACCAATGTAAGAAAGTTAAGCTTCTGACTGACAGCTTTGCTTCTGTCCTCCTGACAAAAAGAATCTGGGTGACTCTAAGAGAGGTGGTTCTCACACTTGAGCATGCATGCAAATAAACTCCCCAAGGGTCCCTGGTTCTAACACATTCCCAGATGACAATAGTGCTACTTTGGCTGCTCTGGGGACCTTTTTGAGACAAGGTCTTGCTCTGTCACCATGCTAGAGTGCAGTGACATGCTCACAACAGCCTCAGCCTCCAAGGCTCAGGCAGTCCTCCTGTGTCAGCCTCCCAACTTGCTTGGATTACAGGTGTGCACCACCACACCCCACTAATCTCTTTCTTTGTTTTAGAGATGGGGTCCTGTTATGTTGCCAAGGCTGGTCTCGAACTCCTGGGTTCAAGCAATCACCTCCCATCTGGACCTCCCAAAGTGCTGGAATTACAGGCATGAAAAACCACACATGGCCTCGTGCACCTTTTATCAGTAATTTTGTGGGGGAAAAAAGGTGCTTGCTTGCCAAATTTGTCACAAACTTACAAAAATCAGCTAACATGACAAATACAGGCTCAAAAATTTAACAGGTTGAAAAAAAATGTGCATGTCTTAATAAGTATAAACATAAAGTGACACGTAATGTTCTCCCGAACTGTCTTCCCACCCTGCAAATCAAAACAGATAAAGCTACTCGGATAAAGCATGACTCACAAAAAAAGAAATGAAAGTACTGACTCCACGCACGGTTCCAGGCCCTCATCAAACTCAATCTTCAGAGAACTCCGAGTTTTCTACCATTCTGAGGACTGCAATCAGTACCTGAACTAGAGGGGACACGGGTTGTCCTGAATCACATTCACATTCCAGATTCATAAAATGGGGCCCATACATAAGAAACTGCCTGTTATACAACTTAAAGGACCATAGGTTTTAGGGTTTTGTTTTTGAGACAGTCTCACTCTGTCGCCAGACTGGAGTGCAGTGGCAAGACCTTCGCTCACTGCAACCTCTGCCTCCAGGGTTCAAGCGATTCTCCTGCCTCATCCTCCCAAGTAACTGGGACTACAGGTGTGTGCCACCATGCCCAGCTAATTTCATGTTTTTAGTAGAGATGGCGTTTCACCACGTTGGACAGGGTGGTCTCAAACCCCTAACCTCAGGTGATCCACTTGCCTGGGCCTCCCAAAGTGCTGGGATTACAGTCGTGAGCCACCATGCCCAGCCGCCATGCCTGGCTAATTTTGTATTTTTAGTGGAGATGGAGTTTCACCATGTTGGCCAGGATGCTCTCAATCTCTTGACCTCGTGATCTACCCACCTCGGGCTCCCAAAGGGTTGGGATTACACTTGTGAGCCACCACGCCCGGCCAGGGCCATAGTTTTTACTGGCCCTTACGAAGGCACAAAACTGTCATTGTTTTGCACGTGATCAACTTTTTCAATTTGAGTACTTCCATTCTGTATATATCAGCCCAGAAAACATTTACATTTATTTATAGTCAGACAGCCAACATGACTGCATAAACCTGGGCTTTTTCTTTGACACCCCCCAGCCAATCTCCACTGTACTGGCTACCCCATTTCATTTTGAATGCTTTAAGCCCAATCATGCAGCTTACCCAATCCAGGAGGGCCAGGTCAACAAGACGCAACATGATGCCACAGGGCAAGAGAGCCATTATTATAACATTAGCCAAGCTAATGTGCTGCCTTTTCTTTCCCCTAACAAAGCCCTGCCATCAATTGTTAAAATTATTATTTTTAGTCAACGAGAACTAATGAAATGGCATCCCCTCCTTCACATACTCAAACCGTTTTTATTTTTCCAAACCCCTCCCCCACCCCAACAAACACAAACCTTTGTTGGGAAGAGGAGGTTAAACAGAGGAAATTAAATGGATGGCCCACAGATTCAGTCTATTTCATTAGCATTTGTTCTCCTCTATTAATATTCAGTAGGTTGAACTTAAATTAAACCATGTCTATTGTCTTTCACAAAAGCAATAAATATGAGCTGAAAATTCTAAATCACTGCAGCAAAAGCGGCTTGGTTACCGTGCCTGCAACCTCAGCTAGTCACCATCAGCTGATGGGAGAAGCGCGTCTGGGATCCAAGACTGTTTAGCCACAAGGCAGTGTCCATTTATGCAGCTGAGAACTCTAAAGAAATCGAACACAACAGAACCCTGCCATCAGCAGCTCTGCCATTCGGGAGCTTTTCACCCCATCTCCCAAATTAGCAAGAAACGAAAAGGCCACATAAAACAATACAACAAAACTCACTTATTTCTGAATCTCGAACAGCAGCGGCAAAATGGAATAGGACTTCCTGTTGTTCTTGGAAACTGGAGATACTAGTGTATTGCCATCTCCCTTTTGCCTTATATGAAGGGTGTTAGGAAAACTGAAATACAAATTAGGCCACAGGTTCCTTTAGCTGAAGGAACTTTGAAAGCAACTGATGAAGAACGACAGATTTCGGGACACAAACGTAAGGAGAAAAGACAGCTCTTTTTTAAAAAAAAAAAAAAAAAAGGACTAGAGCATGTAGTCTCTATCATTTTATGATGGGTTAGACACAAAGAAGTTTTACAGGTCCTCTCTCATTAGCCACACGTACACGACAATAGAAAATCCAAAGGAAAAGCCCAGACCTCTATTACACAAAAGCAATGCCAAAAGAAGGGTTAAAAGGAAAGGAAAAACAAGGAGGGCTTTGAGGCTGTTCCAGGGCTTCTAAAACATCTGGAGCACACTAAAGTCATTAGCATACTAGGGGTGAGTCAATGTATTTGGCTTTGTTGTAGAAAAGATGCACAAAAGGTAATTCTGTATTATAGAGCCAATGCCGTCTGTCACCCTGTCACTGAGACAAGGTTATCACATTACATATCAAACAGTCAAGCATCCAAAGAGAGCTTTCATTTTCAGCAGCAATTTCTCCGTGTGTGTGTGTGTGTGTGTGTGTGTGTGTGTGTGTGTGTGTCTGCAGTTGATAGAAAAATTATAAAAGCCACCACATGGCTGAGGTAGGGCCCTCTCTGAGGTCATCAGAATGCATGGTTTGCTGCCATTGATAGTGAAAAATAAAACCTATGTTCACTCAGGTTTTGCAAAGAGGAAAAAAAAAAAAATGGACTGCCTGCTTTTTAAGCAGGGTAGGCATTCTGATGCCAGGGCAGATTTGGCTTTGGGCCTGCTTGGCATGGCCAGTGTGAACATGGGAGTTTGCCCAACAACTGTACACATGCAGGTCAGCATGTGGAGCTTCCAATGAAGAACAGAGCTCCAGGGACAGGGAAGTGCAGGGCACAGGGTCTGCAGAGCTCAGCACAGGCTTGTCCACTGACATGCTCACGAGGTCAACACACTGGCGGGCCCAGGAACAAATGCCGGTCATGAGGCAGGATGTCGGTGGCACATTTGTGGTAAACGAGGCGCAAATGAAAGTGGTTTCATACCTCGTCTTAAGGAGAATAATTATCCCTTTCCCTCATGATACCAGCCCCTGAGCCGACCAGAGCTCCCCTTTGTGTACTGTCAAATCAGCTATGGAGATTTCCCATTCCGGTCAAGAAAAGAAAATCCAAAAGCACCCCCATCCATCACCCCTTAAAGTAATTTCGAGATTTGGAGGCAGGGATGGGGAGGATGAAGAGGAGGACACGGGGGACATATTTTTGTTCAATTTAACCCCTGTGAAAACAGATGTAAATATTGATTTGTAAATCAACGATCTCACAAGACCTCCTTCACCACCACCAGAATCCATCTCCACAACACACCTTCAGCAATCTAAACCTCTTTTGCATGCACGATTTTTTAAGAAAGTGTTAGACAAAGACCTAACACGGTGGTCATTATTAACATGGAAAGGTTGGGCCACTAGGTAGATAAGGCAAATTTCTGACTATCCCTTTTTTCCTATTTTGGAGCCAAGTAAATGACTACCTTTGAGGAAGATGGGACCCTGGACCCCAGAAGGCAATAAATGCCTCAGGCTACAAAGGAACAAGGCCAGCAGACACCTCCTATTTCCTCAGAGGAAGAGGTAAGCAGAACACAGCTAGTACTAGAATGGGCCCTCTTCTGGCTGTCTAGACCCTAAATGAGCGAGAACCACCAAAAGACAAAAGATTCCCCTTAGCACATCCTAAGCAACAACCCCAGGGGCAGAGAAAACACTGCTCACTGAGAGGCTCCAACAAAAATAAATAAAAATAGACAATAAGGCTGACAGTTTAACTTTATTCAACACAAAACCTCTCATAAAAACAAAGAGCCACAATCTTCAGGAAAGATTTCCCAACCAGCCCAGAAGCTATTTAAACTCAGATGATCACCACCGTGAACACAACATTCTGCTCATTCTGGCACAACTCCCTTTACTTCTTTGGGGCAAGAGATCAACCTACCTACTCTCTTCCCCTGTTCACTGCTTCCTCATCCTTAATACAACCTTCATAAGCATCAGAACAAGTACAGTACCTGAATTAATAACAATGACTGAATTCTAAATACCCACGATGCTCTACAGGGAGAAGTTCTAGTTCTGTGCCCAATCCCATGACTACTCTCTATCCTAGGCCATAACTGTTCTGGGTCCACACTCCATCTCAACGCCCTTTTCATTTACACTGACAACTGAGTCACACACACACACCCACCAGACAACCTAGTTACAAATACCCACCAAAATATAAATCCCTGGAATCCCCTAGGATACGCAAGTCAAGCTTCTATCAGCTTATAGAAGAACGGACCACCACCAAGGTCAAAAGCTGCCTACAGAAGAAAACTGACTCAAGCCAACAGTGGGTTTAGGCTGATGTATATGAGCGGGAGAACAATGGCATCACTGCAGAGCAAGCGAACTCGGTCACAGGAAGGAGACGTAAACACCAGGGCATTTTTTATGAGAATTTTTTAAGACCGATAAATCAGCCCATCATGTTGAAAGCCTTGGCTTCAGATAAACTGACAGGCCCAAATTTGATTCGTCATCTCAAAGAATTTGCACTCTTCAAGGTAGATGTCCATGTACACAGCAAGTTTCACAAACAGCTAATGATATTCTTCTACCTTCAAGTAATTACAACCTGTGTAGGTATTTAGGTCTCTAACGTTTCCTATCATCTTTATTTACCCCACAAATATAAGATGCCAAAAGAAACCAGCTATCCAATTTTAGCAAGGCTCTCCAAAGGCAGGCAAAGCTGCTGCTTTAACTCAATCGACCAGCACCATAAAGTTACTGGTTTGTGTACTAATCTGCAATGATACATGGGCAAAGCTCCACAAACTTTGTGTCTTGACACCTTAATTTGCAGATAAACAACCACACCCTCTGCCCTGAAACCTCTCTGGGATGCCTTCACTCAGGAATCTCTTGAAAGTCCTAAGTTCTGTTTTGTTTGTTCCATGACTGGGAGGGACAGTGGTTCCCCAGTTTCCTTATTACCTCACTCACATATCAACAAATCAACGGCCCTCCCACCTTTCAGATGGATATATTCAGAGAGGATTAAGTAGTCCATTCAAAGGAAAAATACAAACAAAAATAAGCTGCTGACAACAAATAAATTCAGAAAGGCCTACTGCCTCCCAGAGCAGCTTTCTTCCCACTAGTGATATATAATGAATGGAAGCAGTACAGAAAGCAGCACTAGAGGAATGTGGCCATGGAATCTGCAAAGATTTGAGGCACCAAACACTGAAGGTTCCTCAAATCCATCTGTGTTTACAGACAGTAACGTAGACCTGAATTAATGCACGAAATTCGGAAGAAGATTCAAGAGCACTCCAACTTTAAAGCTTTTAGGTCTCAACCCAGAATCACTTCAGGACTCAGGATCAATATTTGCATGCCTCAGTTTCCTGCGTCGTTCAAGGAAAGAAGATGGAGGCAGAAAATGAAAGGATTCATGGAAATGAAAGCAAACATGCTGTTTATAAAGAAAACCAGAGCTAGGGTGAGGATGAACTAATTAACTTTAATCAAACATTTATTCTTAAATACTGGGAAATGATCAAATAAATTGGTAATAAAATAAAAGGGACGAGCTATAGCTGGATGGCAGTCAGCCTCCAGAGAAATGTCTAAATTCCTACGAGCCTGACTGAAACTGCAGATTTGGCCAAAATGGTCAACAGAGCTTAATGCTTTAAGAGAGACATTAATTCTCTCTTGTAAATTTCCACAGTGCCTTTGCAGGAGC